GTAACAGTTGCTTTGCAGTTTCACTTTTGACAGCATTTGATTCCTTGCCATAGTGGATGTGGTTAAAAGGCTTGCTTGTGGTAAGAACTGATAAACCTGCAATTCTGGATATTTAAGTGCTATGATTTTGTTGAAAGAATTTAAAAGGAAACATTTGCCTTTATTTAAATAAAGACAAATATTTACAAACGAAGTAAATAGAAATATTCAGTACATTATTTTGCTTTAGGACTTGCTTTGTACATAATCTGTATGTATACTATATTCAACAGCATGTGCAATGAATGTGTAAAGACAATTTTACAACTTCTACAGCTGTTCACCACATGTGGGGCTGCATGGGGAAAACAAATATGAGCTATAAATGGTCCCCAGATTATGCCCCTCTGAGAGATGTATACGATTACAGTAAAAAATGTACATTTAGCGTTGTTAATAAAATGCTAATAGTCACCATGGTCTAAGTTTTGAGTAGTACAAGCCTGCATTTCAAAAACTGCACATAGAACAAGAAAATGCAACTAAACTGCTGAATAGGTTAGTTTGGACTCTTTTTTTACCCACAGAAATTCAACAAATACACAAAGGGCCTTAGTATTACTACTTATGATAGGATTTACTCTCAAATATTAACTGCATGTCTTGTAATTAGAAAAGACAGCAGCCCAGTCAGATCTTTTATCTGTCTTTTGCTAATTTGACCTAACAGATGCTAAGTGCTTCTCTGCTGGATGAATGGTTTTGTTTGTTGCTGTTTCACTTTTTAAGATAAAAAGTAAAAGAAATACGTATCTGAAAAAAGTTTTGGTAAAAAAAAGTTTTCTCAACCTATGGTAAATTAGGCTGTTTTATAATTAATGTATGTGGGATTTATTATGCAGCTGTTAAGAAATTACCTTCATAATGCCTTCTGCTCTTAAGAGAATTTGGTTATTTTCACATTTCTAATATCGAACCTTTTTAACCAAGGCATTCAGTGGTTTTCTCTTCAGGGATCTGAACTCCATCCCATACAATGAAATAGAACTATGGTTGAATATTTTTACCTTGAAGAAGTAAAACCATTTACAAAATCAAGGTCAGCACAAGACAGTATCTCCCCTGGTGTATTTTACCTCACCCATACAAGTATGGATATGTAAGGTTCCAGTTCTAATGGAAGAGTCACTCGTGTTTTGTTTAAGAGAAGAAAGAGGACTGGGGAGGAGGATTCTACAATCCCTTCATGGACAGTCAATGAAGTTCTCCCCAGCAAATGGCCAGTACAAATTCTGGACATGACAAGGAGTCAAAATAGGAATAAAGCAGGGCTGAGCAGTACATGAAAGCTATTTCTCTGCATTGGCATGGATTTTGACACTTAGATGCAAAGATCTGAAAATGTTTTGTGAACCTGCATTCCCTTCCAATGTGAGCATCTTAGAATAGTATCAGATTAATATATTTAGCAGGTAGCAAGTGCTAATGCTGTCAGTGCTCTTCAGTATCTTACCTGTCTGTTTCTCTTGTCCATGTCTGTCCCAGAAGATAATTTAGAGTAAAATTGTATTCTTTGATGTATTTGGGATAAGCCTCCTTGGGATAAGCATGTTAGATTGGACCAGGAGCAGGCTTTGGGAATGAATCTCCTGGTCATTCCCATATGTGGGACTTTGGTTTTCAAGGTGGTTTACAGTGTCAGAGTACACAAATGGGATTTCCTCCTGAGTAAAATGAAACTGGGACCCAGGACCTAACACACTCCAGCAGATAATGGCCATACAGTTCACGCTGGAAATGGTTGGAAATAACATCCAATAAGCTGTGTCTAGTGTAGATACCAGACTCTTAACATGTGATTTTGTTCTGTAGATCCCTTCCTATTGTACCTGGCTAGTTGTTAATGGAGAGATACCCACAGCCTGATCATTAACAGATTTTGCTTAAAAAAAACCCAAAAAACAAAAAAAAAACCCTATGGGAATCTGCTCTTCTATCCCCTATTTTTTCTGGAATTAATTACTATTCATTAACAAAGTGGTTGGTCTATTTCATGGGAGAAACAGGATAAGACAGATGGAGGCCAGCCAGTGTTCTTCAGCATGAGGCCTTTCTCACCCTCATAGTGATAGTTTCATGGTTTGCATATCAGGAACAGTTTCCAATGTAGTTAACTATTCTGCTTCTGATGCCTCTTGATATCTAAGCATTTTGACATCTAAATATCTAGATATCTAAGTAATCTGAAAAAATGTGTTCTTTATCTGTGAGATAACAAAAAACTCTGGTAGATCTGGATAGATTTTTCTATCTCTATGTGTGTACTTGTATAGATCAGTATATTTTCTAGGTTAGGCAAAGCTTTCCTTCCATGTTCTAAAAAGAGAAGATTGTACAGAAATGGTTTGAAAGTTTTTTTCCATTTTTTCTTCCCCTCCCAACCCCCCCAGAAACAATTGACTCAAACAAATAAAGTATCAAGAAGAAAATGCAAGTATGTAATATTTCTTCCTTCAGACTTTCGGTCTCTTTCACCCTATAGAAGTTGAAAACTCATAGGTACCTCTTGGCTAGTTCATAAAAACATGAGCTTTTCATTAAAAGTTTTGAAACCTCCTGCAGATCTATATTGCTATGGTGGCCACCTACCATGCCAACCTGTAAAGACCTTAAAAAAAAAAAATTAAGTCCAAATAAAACTTCCAGTCCTTAAGAGAAAATTAATCCTTCAGGCAACAGCAAAATTTGAAAGGCCTGAATAGTGAATTTACTGTATGTGTGTATTTATGATCTCTGCTAAAGGCATAACTTGCCTTTGATTGTTTCTTTTTGTCTGTGGTCTTCAACAGCACTGAGTGTGCAGTTTTGTTGCCTGTCTGCTAAACACAGATGGTTCAACAGATGCGCAAGGTGGCAAGTGTAAGCAACCTGGTTTGTGCAGAAGGTTCTTGGCCATGAGATGTAGCAGGGCCTGGACTGTCCCGCTTTTAAGCAATTTCTACCTGATAACACTGGGGGCACTGGCTCTGATGTACTTAGTTTGCTGATGTCCTTCAGCTCATTATCACTTCATATTTGACACTGTCAGTTCTGTGGAAGTAATAATCCAGAAATATGTAAAATTCTTTTTAAGTTGTGCAAGGGAGGGAATGGTGGTGGCTTACAAGAAGCAGCAGTGACAATTACTAGTGCTTGTGTTTGGGCCCATAGAGACAATTATTAATGAAACTACAGCTAGCTGAATGTACTCTAGGCTGCTTATGATCCAGTATTTCACATTTTTTGTCTACAGGTATGTGCTATAATTAGGGGTCTTGGTCAGCTGCTTTTGAGTTATTGGTGTTAATTTTTATGTTGAAAAATTGTCTTTCTCCACAAGCCCTATTCTCACAATCAAGAGACACAAGTAGTGGAAAGACCAATCTTTTCCCTCAAGGTTTGGTAAAGGAGCAGCTGGAAGGTTGGGTTGCTTTTTCCTCCTCTGTCTCATTACTCAAGATCTCTCCTGTTCTTTTGTGCATATTTGAAGAGAAAAGAGAAAAGAAACTTGCATTTGGCTTTTTTAATGTGTAAATGGCAACAAAGACTGGATTTTGATAGCAATTCACACACATCTGCTCTAAATAATTGATACTTCATGAATCAATGTATGACATGAAAGCCTTCCAGCAGAAAATTATGTGTCAGATTAAAGTGTAAATGCTTCATATATTACATGTATGCCCTTGCCTTACATCCCTAATCAGACTCAATGAAGGACAGTTAAGACTGATAGGTCACATTCCTTAGGTGTTACTGTAATTCCAAGGACAATGAAATAACACATGGGAAAACCAAACAAATATCCAACATAAGGCATTATGTCAAGTAGAAGCATTAGTCAGTAGTAGTCTAAAGCAAAATAAGGAATGTCAGGTACTGCAGATCACTTGGACGGATAAAAATCAGATCCAATATTTGCAAAAATGCTCTAATTCTCATATACACAAAGACAAAAGAATATGTTCTCTCAAAGATTTAATGCTGCCTTGTACATGGAAAGGAAAAACTTTTATGTTGATTCACAGTTCCAGGTGGATCTAAACTGTAAGTCCCATAGGAAAGTATAAAATTAAACCCTTTTACAAATTTGTTTTGCAGTAGTATTTGTAATTTCCATTGCGAAAGAAAAATAAAAGTATGTTCTCCAGGAGCAGTGCTAAACCTGAGCACAGAGCAGCAGTGCAGAATTCCTTCCTCAAACTTTTGGAGATTAAACAAGAAATAATTTAGAGCAGTACATTATTGGTAATTCCCAAATCCCAAAATTTTGCGACAGGTTGGTATTTAAGTTCATATAGTTAATAGGTTTAAATAAGTGACTTTTTCTTGCAGGGAGCATGTTTGGAAGCATACTGTATACTGATGAAAGGGTCACTTTATGGCTTTGATTTAAAATGTGATTTACCTACATTGGGCCTCAGAAATATCACACTGTATCACCTTATAAACATCTCATGACCTATTGCAGACTAACAATAAAAAAGTGGATTTATTTAATAAAATAAGGACTTGCAACTTCTGTTTTTTTGGTTTGGTGGGTTTTTTTAATGGAGTTTTTTAGGTTTGATTGTTTACTTGACATGAAATTTCATTGGTATGTATAGCTAGATTCTGAACATCTAGCCAATCTATTCATTATGTGACAGAAATATAGCTAAACCAGTCTTTATTTCAGGCATTTTTATTGTGCTAAATAAAATTTACTTTATGAAAGATAATGACAATCTATCTAGCAGCTTGATTTTTGGCTCTGCTTCATCTGTGAGGCAGATGTACTTAAATCTCCTTCCATTTCTTTATCATGACCCATTTTATCATGTCCTTGCAATTAAATCAGATTGGGAAGGGAAGAAAAAGAGAAAACCAGATCAACTAAAGATCAAAAGGGCTAGAGGAAAATGTCCAAGACAAGTAATTAATACAGTGTGTCAAACTTCAATGCTCAATTACACTTTCTTGCATCCCTTTCAGTCACTTACCTTTGCTAATTGAAGTTGTTAGCTCTCTATGCAGCAGCTTTGTCTTGATGTTTTTCAGTAAAACATTTGGCACCCTGTGGAATTATGTAGATAAAAAATAATAAAGTAATTAGGAAATTGTAGACATAAAGAAATTTTAACTGTGTTACTTTCATCTTGGCTACACAGAATTTCACCCATAATTTGGTTTTGAAACCACAAGCATGCAACATGAACTTCAAAATAGAATACAGCAGTTTGGAACCCAATCCTGAAAACAACACATGTAGTTTTAGCTGTATGTATAATTCCATATTTTAGGTATTACAGGGTGAATATCAGTTATTTAATGTGTTGAATCTCAAAGTATGTATTATTAAATATTTTTTATGTGACTAAGTTCTAGGTGTGTTATGTTAGAACATAAAGAACATTGTCTGGAACTGAACAGTTTAAAGTAATCTACTGACTTTTGCCTATTTGATTAGATTTTGTATTGAGCCCCAAACAGACAACATGCAATATGAGGAATGGGATCCAGCCAGAAGAAAGTGGTTGAATAATGAAGGTATGCTAGTTTCACATTTTTTGTGTTTGATCTTTTGTTGATTTTTTCCTTCTCTCATATAATCTCTTTCCTCCCTCTTCTGGTCTGTTGTGTTTACATTTGGTAGGTTGAGGGCCTATAAACATCTTATCAGAAAAATGTTGGAAGGTGGGTAAGGGGCATATCAGAGTCAAGAAGAGTGCTGGGTATAAAGGAGCCTGTGTAAGGCAGGCAGGGGAGATCAGGAGGCACAAAGCAGATGATTAGTCATGCTGGAGGGCTTTGGTCTTTTTCCTTCCTTTTTAAAATCTGAAATCTGTAAGAATGTGTTTGAATTGGATATGTAGACTCATGCTTGAGTTTAAAACCCACGGGATCTTCCAGGATTGCACTATACATGATTTGTCCATGTTTGGAATTATTCCAGATTTGCTGCTGCACTTGAAATTCACTCCCTGCCTTAATCCAAAGTAACTTTCAAGTGTAGACAAGCCTAACAGTTCAACACTAACATTTACTTACCTTTAGGAAAAGTTTTAGATGTTCAAGGAATGCAGGATCATTTAGTAAGGAATGTAAAATTTCAGCTCATTAGTTTGTATTAATGAGTTATTTCCTAAGAAGCTTTTAATGGCTTATTTATATTAACTGAACCTTCATATTAAAGGTTGTTGGGTAAAGTCATATGACTAAAACAATGGAGTTACTGCAGCATAACAACCCATATCTAGCCAGCAACCTATGGTTAATGCTTCTAGACCTTTCTTTTCCTTGCTTTCAGTGGCACAATAAATCAGTTTAAAATATAAAGCTAATTTTAAATAACAACATTTTACCTCAGAGAGGGACAGAATGGGCTGGGCAATGGTAGTACTTATCTGAACATACTCCCTGTGCTTGATCCCAGTTCCAAACCTATCTTACATATAAGATATCCCTTCAGGATGCCCATTCATCCAATTGGTTTTTGAAATTTAGTGAATTAGCATGCTTACTCTTTTCTGGACTTTCAAAACTATGAGTGATCCTTTAGTGGTTGGTTCTTAGTGGTTCAAGAACGTGGCTGCTGGCCTGTTTTCTGGATCCACTGTTACAGAACCTTCATTGTCTTAATGTAGAACATGTTCCATAAATTTAAAAGCAAACAGAAACAGTTCTTAGGACAGTGTGGTCCTTCCTAGCTTTCTTTTTCTTTTCTAAGGGTTTATTGGTTGGGACAATCTTTTAGCCTTAAAAAGATTCTAGACACTGTGTGAAGTAAGAGAATTCTGTGAGAATTAGTCCTTACTAATGTCCAAAAATAATTTCTGGGATCTTAAAATAGTTTATGACAAAAAAACATTTGCATACTAAGTTGCTCATTCATAGAAGTCTGTGTTTTCAATTAGAATCTCCAAGTCAATTTGGGAATAAACATTTTACAGAGCTGTTGTACCCTTCATTTCTTTTGGTGGGTGAAGCACATTTAAATAGTGATATAAATAGGTAAGTGATCATCAGATGCCTACAGAAGTTGCCTGCAACAACTATTTAAAGTGCACTTGGGAGTCGTGGCAGTGGGTTCATCATAAGAATCGGTTAATTAGCAGGCAGTGTATGCAGTGCCCCATCAGTGCCAGCACGCAGTTCCCAGCTCCAGTTTAGCCTCAAGGCCCTGTCTAATGTCACTACAGAAGGCAGAGAAGATTCTGTGTTTCTTAAAACTGTGGAAATTACCCAGGCAATGATGGGTTTAGTGTTAAAGTTTTAAGGACAAGTGAATCCTAATTCTCCTTTCCAACCCAAACTATTCTGTGTTTCTATGAATATAGAATGGTATCCATATGAATAACCCATCCCTGGGAAGGATTAGTTAGTTCAGGTTGGATGCCATTTTTACAGATTGATGCTGCTCCTGGGGTCGGTGACCTGAGCTCAGCTGGCTCCTCGGAGCAGGTTAGGGCTTTGTGACCATAACATGAAATTAGTAACTGAAACTAGTCTAGAACTTTTTGAGAGTAGTAAATGGGTAGTTGTTATCCACAGGAATATCCCAACTGTATTTTCTGGGAAATGAGGAAAAAAATTAATACTGTGATGTTAATAGTTTTAACAGAGCGTATTTTTTAAGATTTTACATTTATTTAGGCTTAATTATGTAGCACCATGAAAACCTCTAAACCTTCTGCAAAAGTGAACTGTCACAACTTTTTTTTCATGTATCTTAGTGAGGATAATATATTGCATTGCTGGACTGGGCCAATGCCTGCTAGGTGAAATAATCCTGCCCAGGATTGAAATGAATCACTAGATCAGCAAATACTTAAAAAGTAAGTAAAAATGTAAATCATCTATATAATTGTGTTCCTCAGCTGCAAAGATGGAACACTATAGTTAAGATTGCAGGAGTTTTCCAGGATTTTTCTTTAAGAAGAAATGATATGTTTTCTGTTTATTCTGCCACAAAATGTAAAAATAAAAAAAAACCAAAAACGCCACAGCTAACTGTATATCATTATATTCCTGGCTGAGCCAACCTATGTGCCTAATACTTTAATGTGGTAATTTGTCATGGTTTCAGTCTTTGAACATCATGTACATCAGCTGAGTTACATATTAGTTTATAACTAAAAATCACTGTTCTTTGTGTCTGAGTCTTGAACTTTTTCAAACACCAGAACAAGTGGTGCAAATCCTAGAATTTGGCCAAGGATGCTGACTACCTAACAGAATTGGCTTCATGGACAAGAATCAGTTCTTGCCAACATCACTGAAAATAGTGAAAATAATTTGGCTAAGGTTAGATCTATACACAAATAATTTGATTTTACAAAGACTTGTGCATACACATTTGATGTCACTACCTTGAACAGCTCTCATGGCTGCTTATTTGAGTGAACCTAATATGTTTGATTTAATCTTTGCAGGACTGGGACCTAACTGAATAATTAAAATAAAATAATGTGTTTGCTTAAGTTTCAATCCTATTTTTAATCAGGGGTCTGGAATTTTAGCTAGCAGAAATACAGTAGACACAAAATATGCCTTGAAATACATATATTGCTGTAGAATATTAGTTTTCTTGTTGGTTGAAGGGACTTCCCCCACCTCCACATCCCTCTTGCAAAAATTTTGCATCCCACATATGAGAGTGATAAGAGAGGAGGTACATCATGCTCCAACATGCACAACTTTTCAAACACTAAAAATAAACAAAAAATTCTGTAAGTGAGCTTAGGCTGCCAACAAACAGTCTGAACTTGTATTTTACTTGTTTCTGCAGGTTTTTCTGCAGGTCTTGTAAGCCTGTTTGCTAAAATATTTAATGCAGACTAAATGCTTGTTACTTGATTTCCTTTGATTTCCTTGCTAGAGCCCTCATATACAGATAATGTAGAAGTTTCAAGGACTAGTCTTTGGGGGACCCAGCCATTGACTGATGTGTGGTACATGTAGCAGAACTGTGAGTAAGGCTTGTCCAAACACAAAGTGGTCAAAGGTAAATGACAGTGGATTATTCTAGGTTTCAAGCTGACATTTCAAGAGTGGCTAAATTTTTTCTGAACTCTCATAACATGCCTCTAAGATAGATGTAAGAACTTGGCATTCGTGACTCAGGGCAAAAGGCCTGAAGTCAAAGAGCATTATGAAAAGATCAGCTGATCAACTCACAACTCACCCCTAATCTCCTCAGTAAGAAAGCAAATTAAACTAGTAAAGTTTTGCTGAAACATCCTGAACCTCCTCTCTACTTCTCTGTATTGTATATATGTGTATATATATATATGTATGTATGCATATATTGTATATATATGTATTGTATATGGCTCAATTTTGTGATGTGTTTTGCTGTAATGATGTTTGCCAAGTCCTAGTACTGCTCTCATTACCACACCCTTGAGAGGACATACAGGTTCAGAGAGCAGTACACACCTGACATCGCAGGACTGTATCAGAACTAACTCGGTTCATCCTGCTGAAGGATAAAGTTATGGCTGAACTGAGCTACAAGTGGAAAGGCCTCTCTGTGATGTAGCTCCCTTAATGTCAGTTTGCTCGATAGTCTTGAAGTTGGGGGATTTGACAAGCTTAAGCATGCCTTCTGCACTGAACAGCGCTTTTGTTATTTTCTAGCATAATGAACCTCGAGTGACTTGGATTAGTTTGCTCTGTAAACGATGTCAGCTCTGCGGTGCTGGGCAAAACTCGTTCTCATGTGGGCTTTTGGCTGCCTTTGGCTGAGGTGGCAGCACTGAGGGGGCGGCCGGGGCCTCGCTCTGTGCCAGCCGCCGATGGCAGCTGGGCCCGCCCGGGGGGCTACAGAGACGTACCTCGGTGCTCAGGGCACGGCACCGTCACACCGCCGCTCACACTGGGCCCGATACCGAGCGCAGCCCAGGCTCCGTTACGAACGCGGTGCCCGGCGGCCTCACGCGGTTTCGAGGCCGGTAACTTAAAGGCCGTTGCCGGCCCCAGCTGCCGTGAGCGGGGTCTGTGCCACCCGCCCCGGCTGCGCGGAGGTTTTCGAGCTGCTGGCTGCCCCCACAG